GAGACCGAACAGCAAAAAAAAAAACACGGGTTCCCTACAATCATATCATAGAGGTTGGCGAAAGGACCATTAGGGGCAAGGAGACGCTGGCTCTTTTTTGTTTGGAGGCCTTGCATTGCTGTCATTTTGTAGTAGATGGACTCTAAATACGAGGAACCTCTAGCTGCAAGGCTTTGGAGAGGATGAATTAAAAACATTTGAAGGTACTGAGCTACCTCCAACAGCATAAAGAAAGAGGACTGTCAACTGATCGACCGGGTATTCACATTAATCCCCGAGGACTCTGTAGACCGATTCCTAAACTACATAATTGGTCCAGACGAAAAGAAACGTCGGTAGACTCAATCGCAAAGGCATGATTCTGTCTACCATTCTTGGTCCAAGGGAGGCGGTCTACGGTGCAAGGAAGGCCCGGTTGTTCAGTACAACGGTTAGATACAGGGGGTCCATGTATGCCGCCAGGGGAGCGTCTTACACTGCCACAGCGGAAGTGCGGACATACGGGAAGAGACTAGACCACACCAAGAAGGTGACGAGCAACGACAACTAAGCAAATGCGATTATCTAGCAACTAAGAAGAATGGGCCCAGTGAGTCTTGTGTCAGGGTCTGCGCCGACCCGCTCAACCCAAGGCGGCACGCGCTAGCATTCCTATTATTGGTTTTGAGATGTTTCAAGATTCGGTATTTCCAGCCCCAACTGTTTGTACCAATTCAAGTTCCAAGACGGGGGGATGCCGTGGGATTTTTGCTCGTCCTAGTGTTTGGAGTACTGGTTTCAGGCTCTTGTCGCGAACTTCTCCAGCGGTCTTCCACACACGTTTCTCCGAACATTCCATATACTTTGAAAAGCCAAAATTCTTGAAAGCCGTACATGTCAATTGTCCAAGTCTATTGCGCATTCCAAGTGGGCAGCGTTTTTGTTGGTGGTTGAACCTAGTAAGATGAAACTCTGTATTCAGAATTTATACCCAAAAGGAGGATATAATCTTCTTCTATATTGGGTGCCAGAGTATCCCTGAATGTCATACTACTCACCTGGCATGGCATTCCGACGGATTCGTTTAGCTAAATGGCAGTGTATGCATCTCGCTCTGAAACAGGCGTCCTTTGTGACATCCAAATCATTCCTTGTGCGTGAGGGCATCCTCTAGCGAAGGTATGCGAAGGTCCTACTTGTACCCAGGGAACTTGCGCAGTCCACGTCTGTACCGCCGTGCAGCGAAGTCAAAAAAGTTGGTTGGCATGCAGTGCAGACAGGGCTAAGTTCAGATTTAGGAGACACTTAAGGATGAAGGAAGAAGCATGCTCAACATGCGCGCAAATCTCCGAGCTAGCATTTGGTTGTAGGACATGTGGACAGCTGGAAATCGTGGCAAACTGAGGAATGCACCACTGGAAGGTCTGGTACCTCACTGCATAGGACAAGATGTCGCCTGATCAGATCTGAAAATTGACATCCGGCATGCCATGCTGCACTTGTTCGCCTATGCCCGGCATCTCCCAAAGCAGCCCGAAAATGGCACCGGGCACAATCCTGTGCGATGGAAAGATGCCAATGCTCGCTAGAGATATGAAGTCTAAAAAAAGCCGAGTGGTCCACATGAGCGAGAGAATCTGTGCCACCAACGCGCTTGTCAACAGCACGACAATGCCGAGAGCAAGGCCCAAAGACCTAGATGCTTACGGGACAGCAGTCTGCCACCTTCCCATACAAAGTCGTTTTGCAAGAACATGGAAACACTCTGGTAAGCCCATGGTTGCCTGTTTGCTGACCTCAAGCATCCTTCACTCGCTGGAGGAAGCACATGAGATGGCCTTTCTTCTTCGCCCTGCATTTGATCTCACTTGGAATTGCACATGTACAAAAGCCCTTCCGTACATAGTCGTAAACCGCCATAACACTTCAAAATCTCGAGCCTTCACAGCGTATGCCTATTCAACACCAAGCTGAGGCCGAGCCCCCCAGTGTACCAAACCTCTGCCGCTGGCTTGGGCAGAATAGACAAATTCGTGAAGGGTTTGTTTCGCGGAACTAACCCTCTGTCACACAGCCCTTGTCGCGGGAGGGCCGCCCAAGGCCTGTTACAAGCCCAATGTTTCTGGCTGTTCATTGCTTCTGCTCTGACGGCATGATGCGATATGTTTGTACCGCACACACGGCTGCTTCTGAAAATAGATCATGTTTGGCCCCTGTTTGCGCATTTTGCACATGTTGAAAACCATGCGTTCTCCGAGAAGTTGCTGGTCGCCACAAACTGTTGATTTTTGTGCTGTCTCCTCATGGCTGACCAGCTTAAGCCGACGGCGGATGTGTCATGTGCCGAACACCGGAAGATGCAACCTGAGTACAAGTCTGATCGCCCTAGGCCTTCGAACGGGCAGGACAAGCACCGTACCCATCCGCAAGCGCCACCAGCCGCACCAGCAGCAGCACAGCAAAGGCTGCCAACAGCGATCAGCTGCCCCTGGGTCAAGCTTCACGACTCAGCGCTCGAACACGACTCTCACTGCAGACTTCTCAGGCAGGCTAAAGATAGCTAAAGCTTTTGTCATCTCGTGTCTTCCGAGCTTGTTGCTAGCTTGTGCTTGCACTCAGTATTGTCCAGCTGCTGTTATGAACAGCATCTCCATTCCAGTGCTATGACATGCACCAGGCGTAGCAGCTCATCCAGAAGTAGCAGTAGCAGTGGTCATAGTCACAACAGCCACGTAAAACGCAAACTGCTCAACACATCCAGTTCGTGGAGCTGCAGTGCCTCCACGTGCTAGCTAGAGTAGTTACTGTACTCATTCACCAACATTGCACAAGATGCTTTCGCACAACCCAGCCCTGAAGGGAGATGCACTCAACAGGCCCTTGGCCGAACCGCCGAGGCATAGCAGTATCCCTTCACAGCCTTGTCCGCAACCCACTTCTTGAATCGGGCGATGAGGCTGTAGGCAAACACGGCAGTGAAGGCCTTGTTTCGGAGTGTACACAGAAGCCGACTTTCAAAGCAAACCACATGCTACAGGACGTCTGGAGACCTGGAAAATCAGCAGTTTGACACGAAGTGTAGTAGATCAAAGCAGGCTTTCACCATCTTTCACCATACCATTCCCTGCCTCGCTTGCACAGAAGCATGCAGCAAATGCTGCTGCTAGCTGATGATGGAGACGATCAGCGTCCACCAATGCCTGGGTTTCGCGCAATGAATTCTAGCCTGAAGAGGTGCAACAGCTCCGGACCGTTTGCTGATTGCTCTTGCTGGTCCAGAGTGCATGAGCCTGCCACAGGAGCTGCTGGAACAGAACAGCCTTCTGTGCTGGTGCCATCTTGGTCTAGCGCAAAGATCCGAAAGCTTGGAGCTGCGAACAGGGCACCTCACCGCCAAGAACGTCCAAGCAAACATAAGTCAGTAAGACACGCATGCAATTCTTCGGAGTCTGCAGTTTCTACCCCAGAAGCGTTTACCTTCGGATCACTTGACCTGCTGGGCTTGCAAGCTCCATCTCACCAGGACCCTGGCCCAAAATCCCCACCAGAAATGGAATTGCCTGGCAGTCTTCAATTCGGTTCAATCATAAGATGGTCCTGAGAATCAATACATCCTTCATGGCTGCATCTTTGTGCAGAGCCAATGGCTCTGCTCACAACGACAGTTTTGACAGACTAGACAACACCATAAGGACCCCGCCATGGAGACTGCGCAGGCTTTGAGTGGTAAGCTGCGGCTTCCCTGACATTCACGTCAAAGACACTCGTAAATACTCCGACCGCCTTGCGAATTTTCCTCACTATGCCAGTGACACAACACAATCTTCAGCCATCGTGTGAAAAGCGTTACGGATGTTTTTGCAATTGCGTGTAATTGCGTGTAAAAGCATGTATCATATTGTCCTATCAAATCAAGATATTTGCTCAGTACTCTGTACCCTGCCGTCATTTGGAAGGCACCATGCTCTGTTGGGTTGCCTGGGCCACATATGGATCGAAGTCACGGCTCTGCGTGTACAAATCGCTTACCTGGTCATCAGGAGGCACACAGAAAAGTATAAGACCACTAGCTGGGTTTCATCTCGAGGCATCAACCCACCAAGCTGCACGAAGGGTGGCAAAAGTGCCCTGCACCCAAGCTGCTAAGGCGACGATATAAACCTTGCAAGCTCCGACTCTTCGGCGGCTTCCGGGCTTCAAGCAAAGAAATCTCATGCATTCACTTCCTTGCACTAGGGGTTCGTGCCCAGGTAGGCAACCGGATGGACTGCACCTGCCGCGGCACAACCCACGCAGGCAACGGCCCGACTTGGTCATTCAAGAGCTGTCTTGGCCTCTGATACCGCCTGATCTGGGACACCACTCAGCGGAACATCCTGCACCGCTATCACATGCGATAACGGAACAAGCTGGCCTCAGCCTAGCTGGCCTACATGAAGGGTTTGGGGTAACACGCAGCTCCTGCTTTTTTCGTGGAGGAGCCCAGGAAGGTGCCTGCAATGTGGCTCGCGTCAAGAAAATCAAGCAAGGATGAAGAAAAAACTTTGGGGCACAAAGAAAGGCAAATGGAGATCAATCACAACTAGATCTTAGATTCCCCTAAACGAGGAAAGAAAGAAGCACCAAAATGAGACAGCAGGAGTGAGACATGATATGAAGAAAGACACCCCGAACAGGGAAGTAAAACAGAAAAGCTAAGAAGCCAAAAGAAATGCAAAGCTAAAAAGCTGCTGACAGGAGCCTTCTTGAAGACTGCAGGACCCGTGGTCCCCAGTCCGGCGGTTCAAATGCTTTCGCTTCGGCACTTCTTCGTATGATTGTGATGGCGACTCTTGTGACTACTGCTGGTACTGGTACTACCTACTACTACTACTACTACTACTACTACGACGACTACTGCTGCTACTAGTCCAAGAGTTTGAGGAATTCTGATTTAATTTTATCATCGCCTAATTAGTCCAAGGTAGCCCATTTAGTCCAAGGTACGCCCCATTAGTCCAGGGTATGCTCCATGATAGTCCAAGGTTTTAAGGGCTTCATCTGAATAAGAAGTGGCATGATGAACATCTTTTTGGGAGTCAGGGCTCATGGGCATTTCACAGGGACCTGTCTTATACGCATCTTGTTTCCTACATGAGATTTTTGCTAGCAGGGGGCTTTAAGAGACCTCTCTTATAGACATGTTTTCTTATGATGCGGGATTTTTTCATAAGAGGCAAAGGGGACCTATGCTATATAAATGTTTCTTCCTACATGAGATTTTTGCTAATAGGCGGCATATAGAGACCTCTTGAACTCCCCGCGGCAAATCCAATGACGAGGGGTTTATTTACAGCCCTTCTTTCTGAGCCTTACTTTTCTCTACAGTTGTGGGTTCGCGTGGGTAACCGTTATTATCACCCTTGATAATTGTATGACAAGTCTTACCATTTGCAGTTGCAGGTTCTGAATGCTTCCAATGTTTGCAGTGCGCAAGCTCCAAATGCTCTGTTGCACTTGATTATATCTGGCACGCCATGTTTGAGAACTGTTGATTCGTTCTTGATCTTTCAATGCCATGAACCTTTACTGGGGCAGCCTACTAGGGAGCCCATGGCTTAGTTGTGATAATCCCCGTTTAACTTTTCTCATTAACCCAAATGTCGTTTTCCTTGATCCCCAACCCTGTGCCCCAATGTCCAGAGTGACAACCACTCACCAGCACCAAGCTCAAGGCCCAGCTTCCGCGCGGATCGCACCACTGCCTTGCACAATATGCCCTGACTCGAACCCAGCAGCAAACTAAAAGCTTGCCAAGCCCTCTTGATTTCCTGTCACCCTCCTAGTTCTGATTGGTCCTTGTGAGAGCAGGCAATGAATGCTAAACACTGCAATTAAGGCTCGGACGTGCCACGGTCTGGAATTTGGCAATGTTTCTAGACAAGCAGACGCATCTTGAAACTTAGGGCAAAGAACAAGTTTGCCTTGCCTGTGCGATCGGGTCTTGATTGCATCGGAACCATGCGGCGAAGCAGGATGCCCGACTGGCAAGGTCCTCTTAACGCGGTCTGCAGTCTATAGTTACCATGAAGCAGTCTTCAACAATGACACAGGACAGGGTACGCGCACACGCTGCTGGAAGTTTGGAAGTCTGAGGTCGCACACAACAGAGGCTCCGTTAGCTGGAAGTTTGGGCTTGCGAAAGCTTGATTTTGCAGTCCTCCATGCCCTGCTCACTGACCAGGTGTCTCCTTGGTGTCAGTTGACGCACCGACAGAAGGCATCGACCAGCGTTTCGGGTGCAGGTCCCAGTCTTCGCCGAATGTGCACCTAATTGTTTCCTTCATGCTGCGCTGACCGCATGATGATGCATCAGTGACCTGCGCATCCATGCCCAAACCACCATAACGACCACATTTTGTCAAAGAAGCACCACTGCCAAAACCACGATAGCAATTATGATAACGTCCATCCTGGAGTGGATTCATTGATCGGAGCATCTATGCCTAAGCAAAATTCACGGCCATCCCCAGCTGCCTTCGATGACCACAAAGTCCATGACCGAACGATACGAACGTCCATCTCTGACTGCGAACGATGATTGGATCTTTCACGCCCAAACCAGAATCAGGCCCATCGGTGACCAGAGCATCCTTGCTGCCACCAAATACTATTGCTGTAGGCATGCAGCTCATTTTGTCCGTGGACTAGAATGA